CGGTACTTACACGGCGTTGCGTCGACGTGTGTACGTGCACGTGCGATGCGTCCCGTGATGTACGGTACACGTGCGTGCGTCCGTGGAGTACGATACACGTTGCGCGCGTACGTGTGCGTACGTACACGCGCGTGGCGTCCGTGTCTACGTCTACACGTGCTAGTGCGTAGGCCTACGTGTTACACGTACGTACGAGTGCGCCAGTCCGTGTTGTACCGTACACGTGCGGTGCGTTAGTGTGTACATCACACGTGCGTGAGTTCCGTCGTGTACTACACGTGCGCTCGTAGCATGCGTCTGTACGCTACAACGTGCGTGCGTACGTGTACGTTGTTACGTTGCGTGCGTGTGAATGAATGTTAGTAGTGGTTAAGTGGGAACGGCGTTCTCACATTAGTTTTCACTTTGTCCGGTCCCTCTAGTACTTTTTTGCTTCTTGAGCATGGTGTTCTACTCTGCTTTGGTCTAGTGAAGACCCGTCTACCGCCACCCTGTAGTCTTGCCCAACTATCGGCCGTCTTGCAGGATACCACCTGGTCCCACTCATAAAAAAAGGCGTCTTGCATGAAATTACCCCCCGGCCTCCATCAACCTGGCCGTCTCGGCAGGAATACCCCCGCTGCCGTCCTTCCCATGCCACATCGGCTCGTTCTCCGTACAGCTGCACTATCTCCACCCGGCTTCCTCCCGGTATCACGGCCTCGTTCTGCAGCATTTACGTAACCTCCTCCTCGCGATACTGGCCTCCACTATCCCGTGTGCTCTCGTACCAGAGAGCATACCCCGCCTCCATACTCGGCGTCTGCAAGGTACCCCCGCCTCCATTTACGGTGCCTTCGCTTCTATCTCGCCACCCACTTAATTCATTTCGCTCTTACACTCGCAGCCCCGATCCCCCATGCTACGCTCTCGTCCGACTGCAGCTTGACCTCACTGAGTCCCTTCCTCTATGCATCTCCTCTTTCCTCTCTATCTCTTGCATCTCAGCCCCACGAATCAACCTCTTGGTTCTGCTATGCGATAACGATATCCTACCTCCGTTCTTACATAGTACCCTCGCTCCACTCGGTCTACTCTTATTATCGGCTGGTCACGCTGCAGTTGCCTCTCACTTTGCACACCGTCTCTATATGTCTGCCTCTGCCTACTACGGTTCGCCGGCTCTGTTCCGAGTGCATTACAGCGCCGGCCCTCCATAGCGCGTCTTCGTGTGTGCAGGGAATAACCCCGCCTCACATACAGTTGCCCGCTCCTGTCCTACGCCGCGAACACCCCCTCCTTAGCCTCCCACCGGGCCTGCCCCTCCTCGACGGTGCGTCATCGCTCACACGCGTTACTTTCCCGGGCCACGATCGGTATCTCCCACTTCAGCGGCCTCCGGGCTCTAGTAGCAGTTGAGCAGTGATACCCCCTGTGCCTTTCCCATGTACTCGTTCGTCCCATCGCTCCACCCTCCCCATCTGTCAGAGATACCCCGCTCATTGACGCGTTCTGTCAGGATACCCCGCCGTCCATACCGGCGTCTGTCTCAGCGACTGAGCCTCCGGCTCCTCCTTATCTTCCCCCTACTCCGGCGTCTTCAGGACTACCACGTCCCGCTCCCTCCATACGGCGTTCTCTGCGACTTCCACCCCCATCGGCCTCCATTCACCGCGTCTGCAGGATACACCGGCTCCATCATACGGCCGCTATCTGTCAGGATACCCCGGCCTCCATACGGCGTCTGTCAGGATACCCCGGCCTCCATACGGCGTCTGTCAGGATACCCCGGCCTCCATACGGCGTGTCAGGATACCCCGGCCTCCATACGGCGTCTGTCAGGATTACCCCGGCCTCACTCACTCAGCTCCGTCTTGTCAGGAACCCCGCTCCATACGGCGTCTGGCAGGACTACCCCGGGCCATCTATACCGGACACATCTACCGTGGGCGTCTGTCAGGATACCCCGGCCTCCATACGGCGTCTGCAGGATACCCCGGCCTCCATACGGCGTCTGTCAGGATACCCCGGCCTCCATACGGCGTCTGCAGGATACCCCGGCCTCCATACGGCGTCTGTCAGGATAAACCCCGGCCTCATACGGCGGTCTGCAGGATACCCCGCCTCCATAACGGCGTCTGTTCAGGATACCCGCGCCTCCATTACGGGCTCTGCGAGGATACCCCGGCCTCTAGCGGGCGTCTGCAGGATACCGGCCGGCGCCTCCATTACGGCCCGGCGTCTGTCAAGGATAACCCCGCTGCCATTAACGGCTGTCTGTCAGCGATACCCCGGCCTCCAGACGGCGTCCGCAGGAATCACCCCCGGCGCCTCCATACGGCGTCTGCAGGATACCCCGGCCTCCATACGGCGTCTGCAGGATACCCCGGCCTCCATACGGCCCGCTCCCGTACTGCAGGATCACCCCTCGGCCCTCTATACGGCGTGCTGCCAGGATACCCGCGCCTCCAGTACGTGCGTGCTGCAGGACTACCCTGTTCCTCCACCTACGGCGTCTGCAGGGATACCCGGCCTCCCAACGGCGTCGCAGGATACCCGGCCTCCATAGCGGCCAGTCTGGCCAGCGATACCCCGCGCCTCCATCGGCGTCTGTCAGGGTTTACCCCGGCCTCCATACGGCGTCTGCAGGATACCCGGCCTCCATACGGCGTCTGCAGGATACCCGGCCCCATACGGCGTCTGGCAGCGATACCCCGTAGCCTCCCACTACGGCTGTCTGCAGGATACCCCGGCTCCATACGGCGTGTCCTGTCAGGATACCCCGGCCTCATACGGCCGGGTCTGGTCAGCCGGACCCGGCCGCATACCGGCGTCTGTCAGATACCCCGGCCTTCATACGGCGTTCCGGATGTCAGAAGTACCCCGGCGCTCATACGGCGTTCGTGCAGGATACCCCGGGCCTCCATCGGCATCTGTCAGGATAGCCCGGGCCCTGCCATACGGCGTCTGTTGCAGGCGTTACCGCCGCGCCTCTCAGTACGGCGTCCTGTCAGATACCACCGGCCTCCTATACGCGCCTTCGGCCGCCCCCGCGGGGGCGCCTCCGGGCCCTCAGCCTACACGCGCGTCCGTTCATCTTTCAGCCGGACTCCGAACTCGTTCATAGCCCGCTGCAGGATACCCGGCCTCCATACGGGCGCGTCTCGTCAGTGATCGTACCCCGGCTCCGATTACGGCGTCTTGGTCAGGATTACCCCGGCCTCCATACTCAGCGGGTTGCTCGTAGGAGTACCCCCTGGCT